CGGGGCATTGTGTGTGGGGGGGGTGGCGCATGGGGAGCCACAGAGACTCTGAGACTCCAACCACACTGCAGGGTCTCAGGGGACGTGGACACATCTGCTCCAATGTCTTCTGCTGACAAAGGCAGTAACTGGGGCTCAGAAAGGGTGGTGGAGTTCAAGGTCACGTCAAAGACCAATGAGAGTGAGTGTAAGGGCCAGCATGGTGCTGGGCTGGACAAGGCTGTGCCCTATGGCCATGTGCTGCTGCTAAGTGGGGCAGAAGATATGGGGGCTGAATGAAGAAGGGTGGAGTAGGGAGGTTTCTGTGCCACTGGGATGATCAGGTTGGACTCTTCTAGGGAAAACAGGGGGGGGGTTGGTCACTTTTTGGCCATGTGAAGGAGGCACAGAGCATCTCTGCCACATGGCCAGCCTCCTTTTCTGAAGGCCTCACCAGTCTCCTTTGTCCCTGAGGGGGTGGGCAGTACTGATTGATCAGTTTTCCTGTGTCACAGGCAGAAAGAACAATCAAGGCACAGGGACAGGAAGTGACAGAAATGCCCTGGGCAGGTGCAGCATAGATCTCTCTGTGCCAACCTGGGAAGGAAGGACTTGTCCTGGGGAGCCTGACATCCAGGGCTGAGCCTGCACTTCCTCAGCTGTGTGCCTCAGGTGAAGCTGTCTGGCCTTCTACCCCACATGCAGCTGTGAGATGAGGCAGGTTAAACAGCCACTGACTTAAAGAGGCCTGGAGGTCAAGGGAGGGAGCCTTGTAGGACTCAAGAAAGGAAAAGAAAGAAAAGCTTAGACTCAGAGGGGGGCATGGATGTGGGTATGGGAGGAGGGAGGGGAAGACTTTCAAAGAGAATGAAAGAAATGAGTTATTCCAACTGTGGGGAGCTTAGAAAAACTCCACTGAATCTTTAACAGCCTTTGTCAATTATTCATCTTCTGGTATGAGGGCCCTCTGGTTGGCCACTGAGCTGTACTGAGCAGGGCAGAGGGAGGGAGAGAGGGGAGAGGGGAGAAGAGAGAGGGGAGACTATCAGCGGTATGCCAGAGCAGTATTGTACAAGTCACTGCCAAATGCACTGCATATCCCTAAATCTGTTTTAAAATGGGACCAGGGGGGGGGGGGGGGGGGGGGGTGGGGAGAGGGGAGAGGGAAGAGAGAATATCAGAAAGAAACAGAAATATCCAGACAAAGAGTAGTACGTGTGCATGTGCTGTATTCGTGTGTAGAGAGCAAGAGAGAAATGGAGGGTGATAGAAGGGATGAGGAACAACTTCTGTCTGAACCTCTGAATGGAAATGACACTGAACATCTTATCTAAAGCCTGGTCCTCCTCTTCCAGGAAGCCTTCCTGGGTCCTCTTGTCTTCCCTTCCCCCTCCTCCCTAACTTAGGAAGGTCCTTTGTCTCCATCGTGTTGCCTTGTCTGTTTATTCTTACGTGTTCCTGCTTATCTGCTCTGTGTGGCTGATGGTTTGGGGGCTATGACTGTTCCCACATTGTAGGGATCTTCAGCTCTCAGACTTAGTCTGCTCCTCTTGCCTCCATGGTCCCACTGGACACAAGGCTGGGCACCTGGTAGGCTGGGAAGTCCTGGGCTTCCCACTGGAGGGACATGGGGAACCCAGATGCTTAAGAGTCTTTGTCAGCAAAACTGAGGTTCTCTGGAGACTATGTGGAGCCCCTGGGCTCTCTCACTTGGCCTAGGTGTCAGGAGACAATAGCTGGACAGTATGAGGTGGCTGGGGTGTCCAGGGGTTGAGGGAGAGATGCTGATAAGGACAGCTGCCCCATTCAGAATGACTTCCAAGCCCAACACTTCCAAAGAGATGCATGTTTTGGGCTGTGCAGAAGGGAGGCAAATCTTTCTCTTAGCTCTGCCAGGGGCCCTGCCCTTGAGCTCACCCAGCATCCGAAGCTTCTCATTGTCCTGACTTCCCCCCTCCCTGCCCCCAAGTACCTGAAATGCCCGCAACAGAGCCAGGTGTCTGGGGACAGGCAGAAATGGCTGGGTTTGGCAGGAGCCAGGATCTGTGGGCCGTATATGTGTATGTGTCTGGGGGTGGGAGGCAGGGAGCATTGCACAGAAGGCCACAGACTGCATCCCCTCCACCTCCCTGTCCCCAAGGAGCTTCTTCTCCAGAAAATGTTCAATTTCCTAGTAAGACCAAATAGGCTCTGGAAGGAGTCAGAGATAAAATGGATTTGGGGGCTCTAGGGAACACATGGCGACACTAGACAGAGATAGAGGCCTCATGGAAGTCAAGGAATGCTGAGGGGCCCAGCCAAGGTCACAGCAGAAAGCAGAGGGGATCACTCATTCATCCTAGGATTGCTGCACAACCACTGCTGTCATGGAGGCCCCTGCCTCAGCCACAGGCTCTGCTACTGACAATCCCTGACACATGACCCGAGTCACATATCTTGTGACTGGTGACTGCCATTGATTGCTGCCCAGGTGTGCCCCAGGGCTCCTCAGGTATCTGTTGCTATATAAATCTCTGTCTTACACCTCAGGCTCTGTGCTCTGACTCTTGTTGCAGAATTGTGTCTTCCTGCCCTGAAGTGTCTTGTGACATCATCCTATGTCACAAGACATAGGAGCTATTGCTATGCAGCCCTGCTCCTGGCTTCTATGACTGAGCTCTGTTTCTTGTCACTGTGCCTCTTGGTTGCATGAGTTCATCCATTGCTATGTAATTTTCTTTGGTTGCTATGGAACAGTGACCCATGGCTGCACACTGCCTGTGATTGTCGTGGATCTGTAGACTGTTGCTACCTGCCAACATTCTGTTACTTGCAGTTGGGCTCTGCTGGCCTCAAGAAGGTATGTGGCTGGGTTCTGGACAGTGGGTATGTAGGACTACAGCTAGGGCAAATGGCAGGGGTGGAACAGCAGAGTCGGGGGTGGGAAAGAATGTGTGCTTTGTTAGAGGGCGAATTGTGGAACAGGAAGGTAAATAAAGGCTGCAGCTAACCGGGAGGAGGATGGTTTGGGATTAGGATGGGCAGGCAAGGGGCAGGCCTACTGCCCTTTACAGGGCACAGAGGGTGCATAGTTAACTAGGCACACAGGCCTCTGCAGCTACTCAGCATCCCCTAAATGCTAGATAGCATGGATTGGTGAGGTAGGGAAGCTTTGGGCTGGCATCATCCTACCTCTGGACCACCTCTTCACCACCACTGGTAAAATGAGGTCATAGGTTCCTCATGATGGTGACTCTTGCTTGGAGACAGTTTCTCCTAATGTGTGACCTTGACTTCTCAGGCTATTGTCTAGTCCCTTTCCTTTGGTTTAATCCTGATGAGAAAGTCAAGACAAACCAGCCCTCCATTCATGTTATCATACTGTTCTTTCTTATTTAAAGGCATGGTCTCAACTGCCCACCCATCAGATCCATCCTATGCTGTTTGCCCCCCCACCCCATTGTTATCATACTCAATCAATTTCCTGAGTGCAGTGGGCCTCCCCACAGCCGTTTCATCTCTTTTGATATCTTCCTCCCAAGACAAATGCACAGCATCAAGTTATGTGTGTTTATTATCTCACAAGATCCAGACCCTCAGACTTGCTGTTTTTAGCTTAGATATTGGGATCCTCATCAGGGAGCCTTGTCATGCCTGACTGCAGGGGTGGGGCTTCATACTGCTTACTCCTTGGTCACACTATGTTGATGGTGGACATGGGAGGTTTGTCCAGGACATTAATGATAGACATGGGAAGCTTGTCCAGACAGGTAGCCTCTGAGCCTTTGCTTCCAGAGGTAGTGTGAACAAGAGTGAGCTCTGCCTTCTGGAGTAGGGCAGGGCTGAAGCTTGGCTGGCCTATCCTCTGTAGATGGAGTGAGGGCAGGAGAGCTTGCCTTCAGCTTGCCGAAGTTCTATGGTGGTAGCCAAGGATGACGAACTTCAACCTCTTCCTTCCTGTCTGCCCTTTCCAATGGCCCCTTCCCTTTTTGTTTCTACCCTGGCCTTTTTAACCAGCCCTCTTCTCTCCTATACTATCACTGCTTAGAGGCACAAGAATGGGTCTTTCCAGGTCCAGGGTGTGCAGGTTGGCAAGAATTAGTTTACTCATGCCATCTCAAATCTCCCAGATCAAGACCTATACCTTTATTTAGAATGTAATTGATGATTGAGCTGGATTGGTGGCTCCTAAGTCCTGCTTCCTTACTAGGCAGAGATGAGAGGAGGTTTCTGCCCAAATGTTTCTGAGACCTGTGACTTGAACTGGAAAACCTTGCTCCTGGGGACACACCCAACAGACAGCAGCCTTTCCTATTCATCTGATGGCACATTCTCTGGAAGAATACAGAAGTGCCAAGGGTGGATGAGGAGGCTATTGGTGGAAAGGGGCAAGTCCTTTGTGGAGGAGGACCTAGGGTTCCTATGGGATTGGTGGCCTTGTCTGGGGCCTTTTCTCAGGATCTTTTGGAGCAGTGTCCCCCATAGGATCCACTGTGGAGGACAGGAAGAAACCACATACAAGGCCACTCATCGCCACTGATGGAGGTGGTGCCTCAACTGGGGATGTTGACTGGACTGTCTTATGGATGCCTGCTATTCTGCTGTCTGCACTAAGGGGCTGAGACTTGGAAGTGACCCCTCCCAAGGCCAGCTCCCAAGATCACAGACATAGACTTTGTGCCTGAAAATGGTATCCTTTTTCTTTGTACCTCAGGTGCCCTTTTTATAAGTTATAGCTGGCCTCCTCGGGGTTTCCTATGGTCCAGGGGACATGCTCTGAACTGGGGATGATTTGAGCAGGCATTATAGGAATTTATTTAATATAAATCCCATGGGAGTCCACTCAAAAGGCAAATAAACTGAAAGGGAGTCATACCCTCCACCAGCTCATCTTTGGAGAGTAACTCATATGCAGAGTGAGCCCAAGGAGAGGTCCTTGTGCCATCTGGGGAGTGATCAAGTCCTATGAGTGGCTCTCCAGCCTCCCTCTCCATTGCCCTATCATAGCACAAGTCCTCCCTGACCTAGGAAGAGGCACTCACCACGTCATGGAATGTCTGAGACTCTTCTGTTTCCTGAGAGGAGTCGGAGGAGCTCCTGGACCAGGACTCATGGATGGTGCCTAGCTTCTCATCTAGGATCTTGGGGTTCAGAGTGGGCAGAACCTTGCTGTTATCTGGTGTCAGGAAGTTTTCTGGTTTCTAAGAGAAGATAGAGACTTTGGATAGGCCCTTCCTCCATGTCTGCTTTACCCCAAGCTTCCCAGCATGACTCCTGAGTCTCTACAACCCTGTACATTCCCTGCTACTTGACCCTTGCTCATGGAGCCCCAGCTATAGCATCCTGCAGCTCTTCCAAGAAGCCGAGTTGTTTTCTGCCTCAAGCCTTTGCATCTTCTGCTCTCTCTAACCAAAGACCTTTACACAGCTGTCCGCTTATCACTTGGGTCTCAGGCCATGCAGAATCCTTTTGGAGAAGTCCTGCCCTTTGAAATAGAGCTCTGCCCACTCCAAAGTCTTCCCACTTCCAGTGCAGTCTTTTATTCATGGTGTCCTGTTTTAGTGTGTTCATAGTACTCACTCTATGAAAGTACCTTTCAAAAAGTGAATTTACTGGTTGACTCTCTCTGCCTCCCTCCCCCAGTAGCCACACCAAGATCAAAGCTCCATGCCAGCAAGGACACTGCTATCTCTAGTGTCTTGTTCTCTGTAGGTGCTCAATAAATGTTTATGGGTGCTCAATAAATAGGACACCTGTGACCTCCACACCCAGCATATTGAGAATAGCTTCTAAAATCCCCCCACTCTTTTTATCACCTTTTCTGTGAAGATTTATTTTCCACTTCACCTCTACCATCCCCCAATCTGACCACCTCCATACAGAGTGCCTCTCCATGTGCTTTGTGAGCCTTCTTCCTTCATTTCCCTTTCCCTTCCTCATCCTCCCACCCCTGGGGAAGCATCTGCTTCTCTTGTGCGAAGCTTTTCTGGGTTCTTCCAGCATAGTATTGGCTACCTATGCTTTGACATTGCTCTCTAATTCTAGGCTTATTTTTGTTTTGCCTAACAAAAACTTTATGTTCCTTGGGCTTAAGGACACATTGGTGCTCCTTTTGGGGAAAGGTCACTATAAAACTTGTTTGAGGGCCAGTGAGATGGCTCAGTGGGTAAAGACACTTGTGGTCAAGTCTGAAGATGTGAATTTGATTCCTGATTCCTGAAACCCACATGGTGGAAGAAGAGAGTGCCTCCTGCAAGTTGTCCTCTGACTCCACACATGCACCATGGCGCACGCACACACACACACACACGCACACACACACGCACACACACACACACACAAATGTTTTAAAATTAAGAAAAACTTGTCTGAACTTTATAGTTAGTTCTACAGTTTGCCCATTGTTTGAAGAATCACACCTTTGCAGAGGCTTCAAAGGCAACCCAGTCACACCCTGCAGCACCTGTTGGAAACCTCACTCAGTCTCATCACAGACACATTATTCTACTGTCGGGGGTTGTGCTAAAAGCAAACAGAGCCATGGGCACAGTACCAAGCAGGAGGGATGTGCTCAGGGCTTGAGGTGCCCCAATATCTAGTGAGGAGAAGTGTAGGTGGACCTCACTAAGTGGATGTTCCACGTGAAAGCCCACACATATGGACTATATGAATAGAAACGAGAACTCTACACTTGACCAATGAGGTGTTTGCAATAATTCCTTTATGTGCCATAAAATTGAGATGCAGAAATGCATTAACAGAGATTTTTAATGTCAGTAAAGTTAGGGACAGTCATATGTGTGTAGTGTCACCTGGGGCCATTCTAGCCCCAAATTTCCTCTCTATCAAATTGGTACAAGATATATAATTCCAAAGAGAAATAACCTATAAGACACTCTAGGAATGGGAAGAAGGATGCAGCAGGTAACCTGAGGCTGACTTTGGCAGGTCATCTATTGCATGCCTCAACCACGGGTCTATTTTATCTTTGAATATCAGGTCCAGCTGTCTCCCTCATCTGGTCCTCTTAGCAGCAAAGGTTCAAAGAGGATGGGATTCACTGGGAGGCTTCCCAATGGTACAGAATCTTCTATCTTCTGTAAGTGCCCAGTATAGCATCTGAGTCAGACAGTTTGGGGTTTTCTGACTGTCTGAGTGCTTGGATAAGAAAAAGTACCATATCTGTCTCCTGCTCAGAGATGCTGAACACCAGCTTGGCTGTAGAGAGACAGAGATGGAGATGCTGGATGGGTGGAGAATGAGGAAGGAATAACTAGCCAGGGCAAAGACCACCTCCCCAGTGACCAGGTGGCCCCTGCTCTCGGGTGAGTTGCTGATTCAGGACCTGTAATGACATTTCTCCTCATTTCCAGGCAGAAAGACAATCTCGATGCCCGATTTCATAGACTGCCATCTAATCCATTTAAAGGGAAGTAGGAATAATGAAATCAAAAGAGGTCTCCAGAGGAGCCCCATCATTACAGAAAGCAGAGAGGGCTGCCGAGGGAGTCACCTCCCCCATTGCCTGTCTCCCTGCAGCCCACCCTGTATGGCCCCAGGACCAGCTTGGTCAACTCAGTGAACAGAGCTGATGTTTTCTAAGTCCCTGGTCAGGGTTAGGGACTCACTAGATATTTTTAGGTAATTCTGATATTTGCTATGTATAATTAAATTTTATCACAAAGACAAATGAAAAATGAGACTCTCAGTCTAAGAGTGAATTCATTTCACTGGTCTCTGGTAGGCAGGGGGGCATCCTGAGTAGGAGGGAAGACAGGCAGAGTGGGAGGGAACAGTCTACTGGAGGGTAGGAGAGAGTGAAGTCTTGGGGATGAACTTCCTCTTCAGGATTTGCCTGGGCTTGCTATTCCCTTTTTTCCCTCTGTCTGTTCACTCCACAAGCCTGTTTACTGGCTTTTTCTATTTGCCAGGCCCTACCAGGCCTGTTGGGGCAGCTTGGGGCTGACAAGTGGCCCCTCAATCTGTAGCTGCGTGGTCACAGCATATCCTGCTTCATTAGGGCTATAATTGGAGACTGACTTTGAAAGCTCAAAGCGATGCAGGGCCATGCACTCCCAGCTCAGCTCCTGTGCTGCTGTAGCAGCTGCCTACTGAACACGTGGTGGAGAGATGTCCCGCTATCACTGTTATCAACAGAGAGGGGTCTGTTGAGACAGGTCTGGCCAATGGTATTCCAGGATGGCAGCATCTTAGGTCACCTATCTCCCCTCCCCACCTCAGCATCCTCTGCTGCCCTCCCTAAGCCTTTCCCCTAGATCCCTGATCATGCAAAATGCAACAGCTCCTGCCTGCCCTGGCAATTACATAGTAGCCAGGTTGCAGCTGCTGTCCTCGGTGCTGAAAGCACTGCCTTCCAGCCGGCCAGCCCACCTCTCTCCCCTCCCTGAGCTTTCTTGCCAGGGTGCACATGCTCTTAATTCAATTAGCTGGCCCTGAACTCTCCCCAGGGAGCCTGGAGCGGAAACTGACAAATTCTGTTTAACAAAGACATTTGTCCCCCGCCCAGCCGGCTTTGGGCTCTGTATACCGCTCATTAGGTATCTAACAAAGTGCGTCCCAAGAAATCTGCTTCCAATCGCTAGTAATTCGGGAGGCCTGATGTAATTTTCTTCCTGATAAGGGGTGGCTCGCCCGCTGGCAAGCACAGTAATGAGCCCTGTGCAGCGATTCCCTGATCAGTCACCGCTTTGTCATTTCCTGTGGCCACAGTTATAGGTTCTTATCTCTTCAGCTGTAGGGGAGGCTCAGACAACAGGCCTCTTCAAGAGGGCTTGGCTGCCTCCACTGCATACAGCGAGCCTCATTTATGGAATACCGTATGATTTTGCAGCTGTTGTGGGTTTGAGACTCTGGTAAGTCTTTCTCCTGGCCAAGAAGGGCCCAAGTGTTAATGCTTGATGGGGCCATGATTTATTTCCCAGGATATGGTGTCAGAGGGTTAATTTAAAATCAGGTTATGGGGTCAGGGAAGGGAAGCCCCTGATAAAGTGTTTTTAAAATTCTGTAAAGGGGTTAGGATTAAATGGAGCCCCAGCCCCATCCATGGCTTGGTGGATGGGCTATGGGCTCACTCACTCTTGCCAGTCACAAATCTCTTTCTATGTTTCACCTTTTCCTTTGAGTTTCCCCTAATCACATCTGGAGAGAACCACACCCAACTGATGCTCAAGGGTGTTCTCTAGCTGCCCCTTACTTTTTGCCAAAGTCCAAACCTTGTGTTCTGGCACCCAGACTTTCCACAATCTGGGTCCCACCCAAAACTCCAGGGTCACCACTCACCACACCCATGTGTCCCACAGCTCTAGGTACTCATGCCTCCATTTCTCTGCATGTGCTGGCTCCCGATGTACCCTTGCTCAAATGATGTCTCTTGTTGACACTTCTTTTGGCCTTTGTATACTCAATGTACAATCTCAAGTTGGTCTCTCGGCAACACAGGTGGTGATAATCTGATGGACTGCTTTACTGTTAGGAACAGATTAGGGACCTAATAGGTGGCTAATGAGCTCAGGCATGAGTGATCTTGGCTGGGCCAGGATATCCATCTGGCTTGGCTAGAGTGGTCTGGCTTTGAGTTGGGGAGAATCCCAAAGCCAGTTCCCACTTTTGGAGAAGTTTTTCTGGAAGCTTCTGCCCCCCTCTCTCTTCCTTTTCTCTCATGTCTTCAACTTACCAATTATGCCATCAAGCTTATAAAAAGAGCAGCATGGGGGGAAGGTCCAAACACCAGGTTCCTCAGCCTTCCTGGCATCCTGACTTAGTATACTGTTTCCTTTGAAAAAAATTTTTATTGGTTTATTTAATTTTTTGTATATGAGTGTTTTACCTGTAGGTATGTAAGTGTACCCATGTCCTGTAGTGCCCAAGGAGGCCAGAAGAGAGTGCCATATCCCCTGAAACTGGAGTTAAGTAAAGTTGTTAGCCAGTATGTGGGTGTTGGATACTGAACCCAGGTCCTCTACGAGAACAGCCAGTGCTCTTTACCTCTGAGTCATCTCTTAGCCCCCGTATACTCTGTTTCTTGAGGGACATTGCAGGCTCGAATTCCCAAGGCAATGATTGTCCTGAGGCTCATGATACATTTGAGTTCTGTATCAGGCCTCCCGAACTGTACCTCGAAGTAGCCTGGATGTTAATCTAGCCCTACCTAACCTTGTCTTGGGAACTCCCAGACTTAGGA